AAGAAAATAAACTTCAAAGACAGTAAAAAAAAAAGAGAGGTGGGTGACAATGTTGTCAGATACTTTGTACTCATATACTGTTTTGTGGAATGGGAACTTCTTTGTACAACTACTTAAAGATGATAAAAAATAAATTAGTGCCTAGATGCTGTTCCTTACTTTAGCTTTTTCACTGATAGCTGGCACTACACCACTTGAGCCTCAGCTCCACTTCCATCTTTTTCCTGATTAACTGGAGGTAAGAGTCTCACAGACTTTGCTGCCAGGATTGGCTTTGAACCACGATCCTCAGATCTCTGCCTCCTGAGTAGCTAGGATTACAGACCTGAGTTACCAGCTCCCAGGAGAGGCACTGTTCTGTTTCCATTTCTCATCCTCCTTGCTGCTTGTGGTGACTTCTAAGAAAGCAAATTCAACATTTTTGCTGCGATGCTCAAGTGAGAGACAGCAATCCTCTCTCTAAACCATTGTTGGCCATAAAAAGAATCTGTATTTGAGTGTGTGTGTGTTGGGGGGTGTTTTTATTTTTTTCCCTTGTGAGAGAGGCTGTGAAGAAGGCTGATCTCCTGTTCTTGGGGACTTTAATGTCCCAGGTAGGATAGAGCAATTTGGTGAACAATGCCAGTAACAAGTACTCAGAAGAAATGGAAAGGGAGGAGGAAAAGGAAGGAGAGGAGACTGGTGGAGGGAGAAATGAAATCTAGCCATCTGGAAGTTTGAGTTGAAAGTGACAGCTCCAGGGCAGGTAAGTCTTCTGCTGCAGAAAGAAGGGAAAACAATGATTCCTCTCTAACCTGCAGGGTGACCATGTCTGGCTGGACTCTTCCTCCACCAAGATGAGTGTGGCCATCGGAGGCATCATCAAGGAAACAAAGCCAGGCAAGATCTTGGTTGAAGATGATGAGGGCAAGGTCAGTATTGGCATTCTCCTATTGGCTTCCTGTTTCTTTCAGGGCCCTGGAGCCTGCTTCCTCTGCTCCCAAGCATCAGGAGTTCATAAGCCCCAGGGGCATCTCGGTATTAGCATGACATATGGTAGTAAAGCCCTGCCCTTGTGAGCATCATGTTTATCCTGGGCCATGTTGAAGGGTTGAAGAGTACAAGGGGAGTAGGTAGGGGTAGGATGGAAAAGGTCTGAGGCAGGGAGGAGGGAGGGCCCAAAGTGGGTGTGTAAAGTGACAGCTGGGTGAAGAAGGTGATGAGGGAGAAGAAGAGGCAAATGCACAGGTGGGAGTGGGTTAGGCAGGAAGCTCACCTACCTGGCACAGGCAGCAGTAGCCAAGGGCAGTGAGGGGAGGCAAGATCTTCAGGGCACACAGCCAGTTGGTCACTTAATTCCATCTCAGGCCAAACTCCCTGTGCAGCTATGCAGCCTGGATGCTCCAGATGATTGAAACCAGTAAAATAGTAACAATGATATCTTCCATTTGCCTAATGCTATATATAGGGTTTTTCTAAAAATATTCTTATGCTTATTCTATTTGCACGTTTTATTACAATAACCTAATGCCCCAGCTGCAAGCTGGCCTTAAATCTAGCGCCCAGCTAGTTGTTCTTCAGTTGAAGTCCACCTTTTGCCCCTAGCTACACCTGGACCCCAGGCCCAAGCAGGTACTGACCAGTGCCATAGATGGAATTGATTTTGTCACAGCTGTCCTTTGAGGCTATCCACAGACTGAGCCTGGTCAGAGACTGGCCACTGGCACCTGGCCAGCTGATCTGTGATTCCCAAAGGCCACCTCACTCCTAAGGAGATGGAGAAAAAGGATACAGGGAGTGTGTGTGTGGGTGGGGGTGGCCTGTGTGGAGGCCACCTCTCAGGTGACTCTGCCTGTCATTTCAGGAACACTGGATCCCAACAGAGAACTCTGATGCCCTCAGACTCATGCACCCCAACTCAGTGCAGGGTGTGGAGGACATGATCTGCCTAGGGGACCTGCACGAGGCTGGCATAGTGCACAATCTCCTTATCCGCTACCAACAGCACAAAATCTACGTGAGTCCCGCCCTGTGTCTGTGGGGAGAAAGCAATGCACGTGGAAATCAGAGGCCAGGCACTGCTCCCTGTGTCCTTACTGAGTGTGCGCAATTTTTTTCTGTCTCTGTTCCATATGGAAAGAACCAGGTACATTCCATTCTTGAAGATGAGATGCTGATGCATAGCCATAACACAGAATGTAGCATCCAGTAGGTGCTCAAGGAATGCTGCCCCTTCATCTGTCTGCGTCTGTGCACAAGGCCTGCCTTCCAGGCTGAGCGGACACTGAGGGACAGTGGGGACTTTTGTCCCCAATTCTTAGGCATGTTGTAGAGACAGGGTTACTGACAGAGACTCTGGCTATCCTGAGAGCAAGTCTCGTGACAGCTGGGATTTTGGGGTGCTCTTCCACAACCAGTTTAGAAAGGCCATGTGAAGGCATGCAGACCCTTTTTCTTAAACTTAACAATGCAGGTAGTTGGTCTGGTCCCAGGGCACTCATCCCACTCTCCATGAGACAGGGTTCCAAAACTGACACCAGTAAGGGAGTGTGGGGGGGGGGCAATCAGAGCCAGGCCAGGGCGTGGCCAGGGAAGTCCCTACCTGGGTCTTCTACATGCAGCTATTTTGGCTATGTCTTGCCCTCTGGTGTGCTCAGAGGGATCCAGGAGTGAGCTGGAGACCATGAATAGAAAGGAACACTAGAGGAAAGAAGAAGAAATGCCAGGGGAAGGAAAAAGTAAAGTGAGTTGCTTCTGCTATGGCTGAATGTGCATCAGAACTCCAGGACTACAATAAGATAAATTGATGCCACGCTTCCTGCCTAGGCATTCCTCTATGTATCCTGTAAGTGGCTTTCATAGCCTTGAAGGCCAAGGGCAGTGCTGTGGCCTATGAAGAAGTCCTCTAGCCCTACCTTCAAAGGAGCAGTGAGGCTTAGTGGGAGCTCATGAGGAATAGGTGGTCCTGGGCCAGGGACCCAGAGCACACAGAATGCGTGGTTAGGACTGATGAGGACTGTCCATGTTAGCCAGCTTTCATGGAGGCCTCTGTGGGATGCAGGCCAAAACACACTTCACACCTTCAGCTTATTTTTGATGAGCCTCTTCTACGAACAAGACAGGGTTCTAACCTTTTCATCTCACTAGAAACAGGTCCAAAGAAGCTCATATTCCTGGTAGAGCCGAGTAAGCTTCACAAAGGAAGGTAGCTCTGCAAGCTGAGCAGAGTCAGATCCCACTAAATCCTCAAGATGCTAGACCGGGGCCATACAGCTCTGCCCTGGCAGAGGGTGCTGACCAGCGGCTCTTCTGCAGACATATACAGGCTCCATCCTGGTGGCTGTGAACCCATTCCAGATGCTGCCCCTCTACACCATGGAGCAGGTACAGCTCTATTACGGCCGCCATGTGGGTGAGCTGCCCCCACATGTGTTTGCCATTGCCAACAGCTGCTACTTCAACATGAAGAAGAACAAGAGGGACCAGTGCTGTGTCATCAGGTGGGACTTTCAGGTTAAGGTTGGCTCTGAGCGTCTCCAGGCGGGTGTGACAGGAGTTCTTCTCATTCTACTGCAAACATCCTTTGCGAGGACATACATTCACTCAGTCAAACTAAAGCAAAAGTAAAAGTGCTGAGGGCTTGACTTAAGGGATGGAGCACCTGCCTAGCAAGTATAAGACTCTGAATTCAAATCCCAGTGCCTTCCTTGCAAAAAAAAAAAAAAAAGAGGCTGTAATTTTGAGAAACTTTAAAGAAGCGCAAGAAAGGAAAGCAAAATTGGCCAGAAGTTGCCATTGGTTATGGGATTTTGAGGGTTCATTATGCAAATTTGAAAGTGTAGGGGTAAAGAGGGGATGCCTAGGGAGTGGAGCCTAAGAGTCTGCCCTTCCTACCAGATGACCACCACATTCATGTGCAAGACATTTATTTGATTCATTCACATATTTATGTGACACTGGGAATGAGCCAAATCCACTTGTGCCAAGGATCTCATAGCTTAGTAGGTAGGAAGAAAGGACAAACACAATCAGTAATCTATGACACTGACAATCTGAGACCCACAGGGGGATTTTAAGGCAAATGGTGGGATTTCTGCATAGGGAAAGAGTTACCCTACAGTCTGGCCCCAAAACAGGAGAATTCCATGTTTGATGGCAAGGGTTGTCCTCATGGTGACCTCATCTCCTTGCTCTCTCCTGGCAGTGGGGAGTCTGGGGCTGGGAAGACAGAGACCACCAAACTCATCCTACAGTTTCTGGCCACTGTCAGCGGCCAGCATTCATGGATTGAGCAGCAGGTGCTGGAGGCCAACCCCATCCTGGAAGGTAAGCTATCATTCTGTGTACTCACTCACTCTTCTCCCCAGAACTTGGAGTGGTAGCCTTTCAGCAGGAAGTGGCCTTTCAGCAGGAGTGGGGTGGCTGTGAGTATGGAGCATCCTGGAAGGGGATATAGACTGGTGACTTCATAAGCTTTCACCATGTGTGTTCCATAGGATATAAAAGTGTTCCTCTTTTTTGTTCTCAAAATTTTATTGTGATTAAGTGGTTACATAATTTCCCAAATTTCACATTATTGTGAGATGGTGATGCTCAGTTAAAGTCACAAACACATTCTAACTTTCCTGGAGCGAATTGTTTATCACGGTCTATAACATTTATGAGTTCTATGAGCTTTGCGATACAGTTATTTCTTCTGCATTGGGTGATATATACATTTGTTTTGCATAGCACCAGTTGTTCCCTCTTTCCCACTTGTTCCCTCCCTCCCATAGCTGCCATTAAGTTGCATAGTTCATTTTGGTCAATCTCCAGTGCAGCTGATGAGTCCCGTTATGTGTTTTTCCCTGATTCCCTCTAGTTCTGTGTCGTCTTCCTGGTTCCCCTCCAGTGCACACATATATACCATACATGTGATCAGCAGCATGGGGTTATTTAGTAGTGATTCGACCAGATGAGTGGAAGTCCTTTGTTTCTTAAGTCCTGTTAATTTTGTAATATCACTTAATATTTTGGATTTAACATCCACTTATCAGGGAGACCATGTACCGTTTGTCTCTTTGCTCTTGGCTTACCTCGCACAACATTTCTTCTAGCTCCATCCATTTCCTTGCAAATGCCATTATTTTGTCACTTCTAATGGCTGCATAATATTACATTGTGTAGAGACACCACAATTTTTGGATCCATTCATCTGTGGTGGGGCATCTGGGTTGTTTCTATATCCTGGCTATTGTGAACAGTGCTTCAATGAACATGGAGGTGCATGTGTCCTTGTATACTGGTTTCTGTTGTTCAGGATATATGCCTAGAAGTGGTATGACTGGGTCATAAGGGAGGTCAATATTTAGCTTTCTGAGGACACTCCATACTGCTTTCCAAAGTGGTTGTATAAGTATACATTCCCACCAGCAGTGTAATAGGGTTCCTCTTTCTCTGCATCCCCTCCAGCATTTGTTGTTGGCTGACTTTAGGATGTGGGACATTCTGACTGGGGTAAGGTGGTATCTCAGGGTTGTCTTTATTTGCATTTCCTTCACAACCAGGGATGGTGAACATTTCCTCATGTGTTTATTTATTATTTTTACCTCTTCATCTGAGAAATCTCTCTTTAGTTCCCTTGCCCATTTCATGATTGGTTTGTTAGATTTGGGAGGGATTAGTTTCTTGAGTTCTCTGTATATAATGGTTATTAACCCCTTGTCTGATATTTTGCTGGTAAATATTTTTTCCCAATTAGTTGGTTGTTTTTCTAGCTTGGTTGCTATAGCTGTGCAGAAGCCTTTTATTTTAAGGTAGTCCCAATTGTTGAGTCCCTCTCCAATTTGTTGTGACCCTGGGACTCTGTTCAGGAAGTTCCTTCCTGTGTCTATAAGTTCAAGTGTCTCTCCTACTCTGTCCTGCAGTAGTTTCAGAGATTCAGGCTTAATGTTAAGGTCTTTAATCCATTTTGAGTTGATGTTGGTGCACGATGATAGGCTGGGGTCCACTTGTAGTCTTCTGCATGTGGCCGCCCAGTTTTCCCAGCACCAGTGGTTGAAGAGGCTGTGTTTCTTCCATTGTATGTCTTTGGCTCCTTTGTCAAATATCAACTGACTGTAGGCATGTAGATTTATTTCTGGATCTTCTATCCTATTCCATTGGTCTTCGGATCTGTTTTTGTGCCAGTACCATGTTGTCTTTGTTATTATGGCTCTATAGTAGAGTTTGAAGTTTGGCATGGATATCCCTCCCATGTGGTCTTTATTCCCTAGAATTGTTTTAGCTATTCTAGGTCTTTTGTTTTTCCATATGAATTTTTGGACTGTTTTGTATATTTCAGAGATGTATGTTATTGGGATTTTTATAGGAATTGCATTGAATTTGTATATTAATTTTGGTAGTATTGCCATTTTCACTATATTAAGTCGGCCTATCCAAGAGCACGGGAGGTCTTTCCATTTCCTAGTGTCTTCTGTAACTTCTTTCTTTAACTTTTTATA